AATTCAAAAAATAACTTACCTGTATTTTTCTAAAAACTTTACGTACTTTTGGAGGAATCGAGAGATCTCCCTTTTTATTCGGGACATTTTCGAGGAACGGCGTGTTCTTTTTCAAAAGAGGGAAAAAAAAGGAGCTTTTCCGGGAAAAAGATTTTTAACTTTTTCCCTTTATAAAAAAATAAATTGTCGACGGATTTTTTCAAGTGAGACTCAACGGCGCATTTTAATAGAGCTTGTTTTCTTGAAAGATTTTTTAATAAGTGAATAAAACACAAAGTTATTCCAAATAAAAGGTTCCAGAGTTTGACTTGCCGAAATTTAGAAAATTCATAAAAAAAATTACCATATTTTTTTAAAAAGTCACTCATTTTGCGAGGAATCGAGAGATCTACCTTCGGTGGGGCATTTTGAGGAACAGGTGTTCTTTTTAAAAGTTATTCGAGAAAATGAGCTTTTTCCGGGAAAAAAAACGCGTTTTTCCCGAATAAAAAATAATTTTGGTCGGATTTTTATAAATGACCACTCTAAGTGCGAATCGAAAGGGCTTTATTTCTTCAAAGAGTTTCAAAAACTTAATATAAAAGGGGGTTATTCCAAAAGTGTTTCCCAAGGGGACTTTAAAATTTCGCCTCCCCGCGGTTCGCGAATCTAAAAGTGTGTAAGCGACGTTGCCCAGTCGACACCTGGAAACGAGACCACTGTTTTGGGTAGGAGGGACACGAAAAATACCTACCTCCTCGGTCCGGGGAGCATCGCTTTTCCCTTTCGGAGGTCGGATCGAAGGGGCACAGCAGCGCCCTTCCTACGGATTCCTTCTTCGTCCCATAACTCTCGGACGGAGAGTATATTTACATATTAAGTGACATATTAAGAAAGGTCTCTTCGAGTACTTTAAGAATATATATATTAGCGACCGTTTCGAACGGGACGAGAGAAAAACGAAGAAAACCTAAAGATTAAGATTTCGGCTTATAAAAAAAGAACCGCTCGGAGGAATATTAATAAAAAATACATCGAACGTGCGCCCCGAGACGGGCTTCGTTTAAAAAAAATTTTATTTTTTAAATGAATTAAAAAAGTTACGGGAAGATAAATTCGTAAAAAGATACACACCTGACACCTGGCGGAGGAGAGCTCGAGTGAGATGTGTCCGAAATTGAAACCCACAGCGCCCCAACTTACCGACCGATTTCTCGGAAGTAGATATCCCCGCGGGGGTCTCGGCGTGCTCTTTTCCGAGTCCCGTTCGCGATCCCGTGTTTTCCGGGAGAAACGCAAGAAGAGAAAAAATCTAAAAAAACATATTTACTAAAAAAAAGAACCGCTCTGAGGATCATTAAAAAAATATACTAAAGGTGCCCCGAGATGGGCTTTTAAAAAAATTGTATTTTAAGTCCGCGGAGAAAAGTTATAGTGTGATAAAGTTCTGTAAAAGACTACCCCGACACCTGCGGTGGCGAGTTCTTACGGCACAAATCTTTTAAAATTCCCACACCCGCCAACTTACGGAGCGATTTTCCCCGAAACGGGTATCCCCTGATAGGCCTGGCGTGCTCTTTTTCAGTCCTCATTGTTGACATTTAGAAAAAGGGGCCACGTGAGGGCCCTTTCTAAAATAAATTTTATTTTTAAACGCTTTGCTTTTTATAGATAAAATTCAAAAATATACCTCGTTCGAAAGGTCTCCGAGAGTACTTTCGAATATGGGAGGAGTCCCCTTTGTTTTAAGAAAAAAGAAAGTTCGAATAATTTTTTTCCGTTTCTTTTAAGAAATTCATTATTCCCATTTATTCTTAGATAAATGAACCTGAACCTTTCATCGGAAAGGTTCTTTTCCGAGACTTTCAGAATATACGTTCCGAGTTTCTTTACGAGCAAAAAAATCAAGAAAACCGAAACAAATTTTTATAAAAAGAACCGCTTCGGAGGATTATTAAATAAAAATATACAAAACGTGCGCCCCGAGATGGGCTTTTTTTTAAAAAAAAAATTGTATTTTTAACTCCGTAGGGAAAAAAGTTACAGTAGGATAAAGTTCCGGAAGAGAAAGACTCACCCGACACCTAGCGGTGGCGAGTTCTTACGGCAGAAAACTTTAAAATACCACCCCTCGAAAACTTACCGAGCGATTTTCTCGAAACGGATATCCCCGCGTAGGTCTCGGAGTGCTCTTTTTTTCGAGTCCTCATTCTGGAACGGGGACCCGAAGGGGGCCACGTTAGGGCCCTTTCCACGTAATCACTTTTAAAATCTGTAAATCACTCACTTTTAGAGATAAAATTCAATAAAATACCTCATTCGAAAGGTCTTTCTCAGTACTTTGAGAATATATTCGTTCCACGATTTTGTCTTTCGGGAGGAAAAAAAAAATCAGAGAAAACTCGAAAATTAGCATTTCCGTCCATAAAAAAAGAACCGCTCCGAGGAATCTTAAATAAAAATACACCGAACGTGCACCCCGCGACGGGCCTTCTTTTAAAAAAAAAATTGTACATTCGACTCCGTCGGGAAAAAAGTTACGGCGGCACAAAGTTCCGTGAAAAAAAAAGAACCCTCACGCCTGGCGGTGGGAAGCTCTCCCGGGTCACTTTTACATAGAATTCGATCGATCGAACAGTAAATCTTATAAAATTTTTAATTACGCGTATAAAAAATCTATAAAACTTACATTTTAAATTAGAAGTGAGGTAGGGTCCGTGCCACCGCGAGTCGGACCCGAAAAAGAAAACGATACGTCGGAACGACCGTTCGGACCACACCGGAGAGTACACCGGAACGAGAAAATAAAATAAAAAAAAAGGGGGCAGTGTACAGCCATGACTCGCATTGGCCGTACACTGCCCCCAGACTGGCACCTCTCGATCCCGACCTCGTCCCGTCAAAGTCCCGTACGACTCGTACCCGACCGGTTCCCGTCGTCCGACGGCAGCCTCCACTCCCGACCGAATCCATGAGTCAGTACACCGGAACGAGAAAATAAAATAAAAGGCAGTATACAGCCAATACTCGCCGACGAGTATTGGCCGTATACTGCCCCCAGACTTGCACACTCTCGATCCGGACGGTCCACTCCTCATCCAGTGAAAGTACAACGGTCGCCTCCCGTCCGACTCGTACCCGACAGGTTCCCCTCGTCCGACGGCAGCCTCCACTGCCTACCGAATCTATAAGTCAGTACACCGGAACGAGAAAAAAAAGGCTATACAGCCATACTCGCCGACGAGTATTGCATACGCAGACTATCACCTCGATCCGACGGTCCATCATCCAGTGAAAGTACGACGGTCGACTCCCGTCCGACTCGCACCCGACGGGTTCCCCTCGTCCGACGGCACCCTCCACTCCCACCGAATCTATCAGTAAGTACACCGGAACGAGAAAAGAAAAAGCACTACACAGCCAATACTCGCCGGCGCCAAACTGCCGGCGAGTATTGGCTATATACTGCCCCATCCGGTCCAAATCCGTCAAAGTCCCACGGTCGCCTCCCGTCCAACTCCCACCGCAGCCTCCGGGTCCGATCCTCCGAGTCACCTTCCGTAGACACAGAATTCAACTCAGCTCACAATACTGCCGGCGCAAATCCACGGTCTCGGTATTACCACCATCCGGTCCAAATTTCCGTCAAAGCCCACGGTCCCTCCGCCAACTCGACCTCGGCCGATCCTCCCGAGTTCCAATCTTCCCGTCGATCCAATTCCAATTACTCGTCGGTAACCCAGGTCCAATTTCCAAATCCTCGAAAGTCAACCCCGCCAAACTTCCCCCCGGTATCATTCCACCGCTCTCGCGGTCCCAATTCCCCGTCCAATTCTCCGAGAGTCCCATCGGTCCCTTCTCGTAATCAAGGGTCGTCCTCGGTCCCAATCCCGCCCGGTCCACTTCCCTCGGTCCATTCTCTCGTCCTCTGGGTTTCCACTTCTCAAGTCCCAAGCCCGGTCCACTTCTCGTATCAAGTCCCACGGTCTCGGTCAATTCCCGTCGTCCAATCTCCGCAGTCCTCTCGGTCCAATCGCCTTCCCGTATCCAGCCCACGCGTCTATCGGTCCAATCTCCCGTCCATCAAGTCCACTTCTCGCCTCAAGGTCCGTCCCACTCCCGTCGGTCCAATTCCTCGCATCCAATTCTCCGGTCCACTTCTATCCCCAAGTCGCCCCCTCTCCGTATCAGGTCCCACGCCTCGGGTCCAATTCCGTCAGTCCACCTCCATCGCTCTCCCAAGGTCCGACGCCTCCGGTCAACTCTCCGCTGTCCTCGGTCCAATCTTCCCCGGGTCGATCCAAGTCCACTCGCACCAAGGTCCCAACTCCCGTCGGTCCAACTTCCGACCCCACCTCAATCCTCCTCGGGGTCAACTCCCGGTCGGACCTCGCACTCCCCATCCGTCGGTCCGACTCGGCCCCTCCCGTCCCGGGCCGCCGCCCTCGGTCCACCTCCGCGTCCATCAATGCCGTCCGGAGTCCGACGGCCCGACTCCCGCCCGGGCCTCCGGGCCGACCTCCTGCCCTCGTGTCCAATCCCCCTCGTCGGTTCGTCCAACTCGCTCGGCCCGACTCCACTCCCCATGGGGACCGAGGTCGACCCCCCGGGTCGGCCGGCCTCAATCCTCCTCCGGTCCAACAATCCGACTCGGTCCAATCCTCACCAAGTCCGCCCGGCCTCGTCCCTCCGTCGCGTCCCTCGGCCTCGTCCCGGACCGTCGCTCCTCGGTCCCCTCCCGGACCGTCGCTCCTCGGTCCGGACCTCGCACTCCCCATCCCGGCGGAGCGCGACGGTCGACTCCCGCCCGCCTCGGACCGTCCCTCCTCGGTCCCATCTTTCCGTCGTCGAGTCGCCCCTCCTCGACCCTTCGGACCCTCGGCCCGAACCTCCGCGGGACCCTTCCCGCCGGTCGAGGCACTCCCCGACCGCCAGCGGACCGACCGCCGAAGAACATCGGTCCGCCGTTTTCAAAACACCTCCCGGGGAGGACCGGCGGGGCCGGCCCGAGTCTCCGGACG